TTTTGGCCAAAGGTATTTATACACCAATAGTAGAGCTTTGAACGTTTTTAAGCAACTTTGATCGAGAACACTATCGATGAAGGATATGAAAGAAGCGAAAGCAACCATTATTAAAATATTGTGCAAATTAGAAGTAATCTATCCTCCTATGTTTTTTGACATTATGGTTCACTTAGTTTTGCATTTACCTGATGAAGATATTTGCGGAGGCCCGATATGTATGAGATGGATGTATCCCTTCGAAAGGTATATGAAAAAACTAAAAAACTATGTCAGAAACAAGGCAAGGCCAGAAGGTTCTTCAGTTGAGGATTATGTCGTTGAAGAGGGATTATCATTTTGTTCGATGTACCTTGAAGATGTTGAGACTCGATTCAATTACATCGAAAGAAACGTGGATGTTGTTATAAAAGAAAGAAAGTTACGGGTGTTTCAGTCTAATTGTCAACCGACTAGCGTAAAGAAAATGAAAAATCTCAGTCAAAGGAGAGAAAACATCTAAAATGGTTTGTGCTTGATAGTTGTGTTGAAGTCAGAAAGTATATCTTGTAAGTGTTCGTATCTTTTAATTCATTGTCTGTTTTAATTTTCTCATTGTTACTAAATCTATATATTTTTTTCATTAATGTAGTGAATTCAAATCATTACATCCCGGAGGTGATGAAAAAACCGAATTCTCTAAATGGTTCCTTCACAAGGTCTATGAGATGCAAAATAAAAAATTTCCATTGTTTATCAAGGAGTTATCAACTCTTTTAACGAGTGCGTATGCAAATGCCTTTACTTATACCGCGTGCATAGTGAATGGTGTTAGGTTTATGGTACTTATGCATGACGCCCAACGATTAACATAAGACTCGAGGGTTCTAAACAAGGGAGAGAATAAGCAGAAATTAAGGTTAGCTAGAAGAGATTACCGAGTTTCATAATCCTCATCATCATTCCACTATACTTTTTCGTTGCAAGTGGTTCGATACTATAGGAGTTAAATATGATTATAATGACCCACAACGCGAATTGAGTAGTGAAGATCAACTTATATTTTCTACTTAATCGAAACAACTATTTTACATCCAAGAACCTTCTCGAAATGATGAAAATGACAACCAACGGTGGGTTGTTGAAAGTGTTTATCATAGAAGAATTTGGGATCTACCGATGAACGATGTTGACCATGATCCCATTGAAAATGTCGACATTGATTCAACCGATGTTGTTCTTAGTAATGATCCATCTAATTTCACTCTTTCAATTGACTTTAGCCAGTACTTTCAAAATTCCCGATCGGTTGAAGATGATATTGAAGTTGGTCCGCCAACATGTAGCATCAATAATGTGTCTGACTGCAAGACTGATTATGACGAGGAGGATTTCGATGATGATAGGGATATGTTAGCGGACACTGAAGTGTCTGAGAGAGAGAATGATTAAAAAATCTTTACATTTGACTAGTAAAATAAGGTTTGTATTTGTTGTAATCATATCATATTGTGTGTGTCTATATATATATATATATATATATATATATATATATATATATATATATATATATATATATATTCATATTGTGTTATAATTTTTTAGGATGTCATTTTTTTGGATTGCATTGCTCCATCTCATGGCTACTGTGATGGGCCATGGAGGTGACAATAGTAACGAGTCACCACATCCGTTTACTGGAGGTTTTGGTGATCACCAGATCGATGGTAATTTAGATTTATTCTAATTCATTGTATTTCATATTGTATGTATATAGAAAATTACCTTGATTAATATTTTTTTATGCAGCGGTGGCTCCAAATGAAGAGTTATGTCAGTAAACAAAAAAAAAATACAAGTTATTGCAGCTAACAGCACACGGCCTCTGAAGATTACATCTAACATAAATATTCACATGTCGATTAAGGAAGTATACACAATTTTCATTCGGGAGGTTGGGAGTAATATGTGGCACGACATCGCTTTTGATAAGGACACATGGAAAGAAGTTTTTGAAGCCAAAAGGGTTGACATCTTCCAGTATATTAGGGTAAATTATTTATAAAGTTATATTTAATTTGATTAATTTTGATTTATTTTTAACTTCATTATTTTTTTGTAGACATGGTTTGAATTTGGAGCGATTTCAAATGATCCCATGACTTCGGTTTATTGGGCGTCACTGAACAATCGGATATTTGCACGGTATAGAGGCCATAACATACTACAAAAACTTGTTTAGCTGATTTTGAAGGGGATGTGGAGGCAGCAAGGGCTCAAGCGTCTAAGGGTATGGATCCGCAACGTTGGAGTGATGCTATTAACTACTTCTGAACATATAGGTAAAAAAATGATGTGCTGAAAAAAAAAAGAATGCCAGAAGAAGCAAATAGTTAAGAATAGCGGAGGGACGTGTAGCTACGGTAGTGCTTGTTTTAAGAACGTAAGATAAAATAATGTTTATTCAGTTATAACAAATTTTTTTAATGTTTATTCAAGTATACCATATTTTGTAATGTTTAACAGAATTTGAATAGATTTGAAGCATTTCGTCATGGGCATGTGAATAAAAAAGGGGAATTTGTTGATCCTTTAGTTGAACACTAATATGTAATTTATTATTTCTTAAAAATGAAGTAGATTGTTGTTTTTTTGTGATAGTTTTAAAGTATATTGACAATTTTTCTGAAATAAAGAATGCTTTAGTTGCTAAGGTTGCTTTATATACTGAACTCATAGTCGACTCCGATGGTGATTCAGACTCCATTCATTGGATATTAATATTTGAGAAGGTATTAGGTTCTTGAATGACACACGTGAGAGGTATTGGGCCTAAGCCTCCTTCTGTAGTGGGTAAAAGTGCTTCATCCCAATCGCAGTCACTGTCACAAACACCGCAACCAACACATGTACTTATTAAATTCTTAAAGAATTTGGTAGCTTTGCTATATAGTTAAGAACTTGATGCATTTATAGTAATTTTTGGTAGTTTGGTAGTTTATTAAATTGTTAAAGAGTTAATTGATTTGGTGGTTTAACAGTTTCTTAAATTGTTAATCATTTAATTCATTTCGTGGTTTGATAGTTTGATAGTTTGTTAAATTGTTAATGACTTAATGTGCTTGCGACTCAATTGTAGAACATGGATGTTAATGTTTTTCTTTAAAATCCGTGTTTGTGATGGAAATTGGAGATATTATCCGCTCGTTCAAAAACCAAGTCAACAACGTAGAAAACAATCATAGATGTATTTTATATTGATTAGATAGTTTATATAATGTGGTATATCTAATGTTTTAAGTAATGTGGTATGTATTGATTTTTGTCTTTTTATCAAATCTGCATTTTATTATATATATATATATATATATATATATATATATATATATATATATATATATATATCATAAATAATTTTAAAAAATAAATAAATAAATAAAAAACAGTAACAGCGACACCATTAGGGACGACAATGACCAATTGCGACGACTCGGAAGCCTTCCTGGTGGCCGAAATATCAATAGCGATGACACTAATAACGGCGAATGACATATTTAGCGACGAAAAATCTTATAGACGATATCAATTGCGACGATAGATGAGTATTAGCTATGTGGTAATAGCGACGACCCTCTAGCGGCGACATGCCGATCCCTAAAGGTAATAGCGACAACATGTGGTATCAGTTGGGACGTTTTTTTGTCATCGCTAAACGTTATGTTTATTTGTTGTGGCATGACCTGTCATGTATCACCCCCTGGAGCCTAATAATACACATTTCTTTTAATTTTGGCCAATTAGGGTGTCATTAAAATCATAAACTAATTAAATAGTTCATCTGGAACAAAATAAAGTTTGGTATATTTGGTTATATTAATCGAATTATATAATATTATTCTGTTTGGATTTGATGATTTGCTCTTGACATTAGATTACAAATTGTTAACCTCTATATATATATATATATATATATATATATATATATATATATATATATATATATATATATATATATATATATATATATATATATATATATATATATATATATATATATATATATATATATATAATCACTAATCTATAATAAAGGGTTGGGTGTGTTTGTTTTACCGATTAAAACACTCTAAATTTAATATGTCAATGGAAATAACTACAAAAAAAAAATAAAATTGGAGGATTTAATCTAATATTTCATGTGAGGTTTATACTAACATGAATGATCCCTTTTGTTATAAAATATGATCAAATAAAAATATATGAGAGTAAATATAACTTTTATTTTAATACTTGTGATGAAATCATCAACTTTCTATTACATATGGCTCACTATTTACACTATCAAAACAAGATGAAAGACAAGTTATAATATAAATGCACATTATGATGTTACATTATTATATTCATAAAACACATTGGAATGGTTCTCTGAATGGCGTGTCAATGCCATATCTAGGCTACAAAAAAGATTTGAATTTTTTTTTGTTTTTTTTGAAATTTGCATGTATTCACAATCATGACTGTTGATGAGCACAGTCAACAACCATATGGACTGCAGATGTGTACAATCAGCAACCATATGGACGACTAATGAGCAATCAGAAGTCTATATGACTGTTGACTGGGCTTATTAGCAGTCATTCAATAAAAAAAAATTAGCAAATTTTTTTAGCCTAAATATGGCTTAGACATACCATTTGGAGAATATTAATGTTTTTGGAGTTAGAAAATGACTAGCTGATTATGAGTTCGCAAGTTGTCACAAAATTTTTCATTATCAAAAGAACCTCTCTGTGTACATATATACACACAAACATAAGATCAAATAGAAACCAATAAATGTTAATAACCTTAAGAACAATTAATTTTAATTAATAACTAAGGCTATTTGTGTATTTTTTTTAATATTTTAATTTTTTGAAAGCTTTTATAAATTAAAAAAGACAAAAAGAATGTAATCGTCTTTTTGAAAAAAAAAACATGTGATACCATTTCTTCATTATTATATTATTTGTTCATTATTATATTATTCGATATGTTAGATCTGATACCTTCTTCAACCATTTATGATGAACACCACCACATCCACCACCATTGCCGATGGTCTCATCACCGATAACACCACCGACGAAGAAAACTCCATGTTGCAGCCTCCGACCATCGACGATAAAACCTATAACCATCACCGGAATTTCAAATATAGAAATATCAATGCGTCGGCTTTGTTGGTTTTGCGGTGAACCACCACCGGCATTGTTGTGTCCTCCTTCGACACCATATCTACTGTGGTGAGCCATCTCAAATCGCCGCCTATATAAATCTATATCATCGCCCCTGCTCGTTGTCTAAATCCAACAGATCTATCATACCATCATTAAGATCTATAAGATCTGGTTTAGATCTACGATATTTGGCACCATTGATGTTCTGATCTGTAAGTTGTGGTCTTGATTTATGATTTCCGACGGGATATGGCGCCCTGTTCTTCAAGTTGCACATCTGCTTTTGTGTTCTTCATTATAGATCTCATAAAGTTGTTTGTTATTTTTCCTATCAAGATTTGGATGTGTTCTTTTTAGTCAAACCTGGTCAAATATGATGTTTTATGGTGTTTATGAATATGATATATGTGGTGCAAACAAAGTGTTTGATGAAATGTTTCAACGAAATTTGATAAATCATTAAGCTATGAATATATATATTTTTTTATATATTAATTTGTGAATATGTAAGTTTTTAAGCTATGAATTAGAGACGACACATTCATGTTAATGGTATCCATGGGGACCCCTAACTTTTGAAAATCATTTATGGAGTATATGACATTATTCAAACAAACAACCACATATAAATATAATGTACATTTTTTGTGAACACAAAATAACACTCAAGTCTTTTTAAGATCTTAAACTATTAATTTATATAAATTAATACCCACTTATTACAGGGCCCGCCCGTGGGCAAGGGCAAGCTGGGCAACCGCCCCGGGCCCCCAAATGCTACAGAGCCCTAGTTTTTAACTTGTTATTTTGGTTATATATTAACAACCCATTACTTTTTCGCCTATTGGACTACTTGTAACAGCCCGAAATCCAGGTATTCTTCTGTTTTAGATTAAATTGTTAATTTAGGGTTTCCATGGTAGGCGAGTACGTTGGGCGAACAAGGTGTACGCTGCGCGTACTCACGCGCCTCATTTGGACGCGTTCACCCTCAGGTACGCGGGGCGTACCCAAGGTTACGCCCGACGTAACTTATTCAGATCATTTCATTTGAAGGGGCTATAAAAGGAATGTGTGGCTGGCCTTCTCAGCCACCATCCCTCAGCGTGAAACCCTAAAAAGAGTGTACCTTCGTTATTTGGCCATTGTGCGTGTATTCTAAGCTTGGTGGTGCCATTCCAAGGTTGCAAAGGAGAAGAAGAGCTTGTTGGAGAGGCTAGAAGTGGTGCTCAAGCGTAGATCTAAGCTTTTCAAGGGTTAAAGCTTCATTATCAGGTATAAAGTTCGGATCTTGTCACTTGGTTCGTGTTGTATGCTTAAAATATCATTTTCTAGGGTTTAAGTCCCAATGGTGGAGACTTTTTGTGCAAATGGCCTCCATAAGCTTAGATACTTCATATTTCTGATCTATTGGAGTTGTAGACTCCTAAAAATGACATCTTGGACGTGGGTATTGCACCATGCATGAGATCTAGGTCCTTGTGTTGGAAAAGAATGTTGTTATGTGATGTTCGAGCCTTTACAGCCATGCCAAGGCTTAAAGGTCTCGACTTTATGGGTTTAGACTCACTAAAGGAGTCAGATCTAGAAGTTGGAGTTATGGCTTAACCGATTAAGACAATAAATGGTGGGTGGCTGATTCTGGTGGTTACGCTGGGCGTAACTCCCAATACACGCAGCGTACTGGGTGGAGACCCTGATCCAGGAAGGGGGGGGGGGTGGCGATGTACGCCCCGCGTACATCTAGCAGTACACCCCGCGTACTCTCAGGGTTAACTTTTGTTGACTTTTAGGGTTTTGGTCAACATGAGGACTTTAGGTTAAGGAAGGGTAAAATGGTCTTTTACCCTCTGAGGAATGATGATAAGGGGTAAAGTTTTAGTGGTGGAAGTCTTTGTGTATTAAATGATATTTTTATGTTTAGGCGAGGTAGAGACGTCGTTTGGATTCGGTGATAGCGAGGATGCGAGATCTTAGACTTTCCACGAGGTGAGTTTTCTCACTATACTGTACCCGGAAGGGTTGACTGTGTGACCGGAAGGTCGGATATGTTATGAGATGTATGTATTATGTGTGATAAGTTATTCGTTATATGTGCAATGTATGATATGCTTGATATGGGCCGGAAGGCGAATATGTTATGGGTCGGAAGGCGTTGTGATGTGGACCATAAGGTTCACGTGGGTACGACCAGAAGGTTTACCTAGTCGGGATGGAAGTCCCCTGAGACACATGGACCGGAAGGTTAGGGCCTGGAAAGGCGTATGTGCGTAAGTTGTATTTTGGGGACCTTACTAAGCATTTATGCTTACAGTTGTTGTGTTATGTGTTTCAGGTACTAGCGAGGACCGTGGGAAGGCGCCGGCGTGATCGTACACATTATCGGGGGGAAAACTATTTTTATGAACTTTGGATGTATTCTGCTGTGACAATATTGTTTACGTTTGAATTTGAAATATTAATCGATGTTTTGATGTTTACAAAAAAATGAAAAAATTGGTTTTAAATTTACGTCGTTACAAGTTGGTATCAGAGCCTAGGTTTGAGGGATTCGGATACACCTTCGGGCGTAACTGAACTCAAACCGGGGATTTGAGAAATTTTTAATTAATAAAATAAAAAAAAAATTAAGAGATTTTGTAACAATCAAGGAAGAAGAAGTGTGTATGGTCAGCCAGCGCCCGAACAGTAAAATCCTCAAAATACTCTTACAATATTTGTTATGAGATATGATATGATATGATACGCATGCTAGTAGACTAGGTATTCATATTAGGACTAAAGTGGCCTGATTTGTGATGCCTTAGTCTAGGGAAATCTGCTTCTATGAGGTGCTTTGAGAGCGAGTGGGTAGCTAGCGCATGGCAAGAATAGAGTACTCATGATCCGGGGTTTGGGGAGGAGGACTTGGGGTGAATGCTGATGCGGTGTAGTTGGTAGTACTGGTCCCGTACTACTAAAGACACCGGGTCAGTGGGCAACCCAAGTAACAATCCCTGGGTATCGGAGACTGAGTAGGGTTGTGTTATCGAGTGCGATTATGCTCGATAGAGTCTCTGATATTTCTATGTTGTATTTCAGAGGCAGCATGGGTGGACAACGCCACAGACCTGTTACGAGTAGTGTGAGTGACGAGGGGCTTCGTCAGATGATTCATGACGAGGTGGCTGCAGCGATCCGGGCTGAGATTCCGGAGATGTTTGGGTCTATTAAGACCACACTGATGGAGACTTTTGATGAGCGGTACGCTGCGGTGACTGAGGCCACAGCCACTGCAGCTACCGCAGCTGTGGCCGCTGCCAGACCACAAGGGTGCTTGCTACAAGTGTGGCAAGGAGGGGCACATTGCTAGGGATTGCCCCAAGGGATTTATGGTTTGATTTCATTGCAACCAGACCGGCCACCGGAAGGCCGAGTGCCCCCAGCTTCGCCAGGGATCTACGCCTGCTGCCAGGGTTACCGAGACTCAGCCGGTGAAAGCCAAGGCTCCGAAGGCTCGTGGGAGAGCTTTCCAGTTGACTGCGGAGGAGGTCCGCGCGATGCCTGATTTCGTAGCCGGTATGTATTCTTTCGCGTATTTACTTTTATGATATGGTATTCTGCTTACATTATGATATGCGTAGGTACTTTTCTTTTGAATTCTGTACCTGCTTTGGTATTATGTGACTCAGGTGCGAGTCGGTCTTTTGTGTCGTTGGCTTTTAGTCAGCACATCGGTATTGATCGGGAGGTGATGAGTCGACCCCTACGAGTTTCTATAGCGGATGAGAAAGCGATATACGCCACTGACGTGATTCGAGGATGTGTGCTCGAGATTTTTGGGGTCGGGTTCCCTATAGACTTGGTTCCTATAGCGATGGGGGATGTCTGCATCATCGTGGGTATGGACTGGTTGAGTAAGTTTGGGGCAGTCATTGACTGCGAGAGACAGCTGGTGTCTATTCGAGACCCTAGTGGGGGAGTGCTTACGGTGTATGGCGAGGCGACCCAGTGTGGGTCAGCGTTTTGTTCGGCTGCTAGGGCGAGGCAGAGTTTGCAGCAGGGATGCAATGGATTCATAGCCTACGTGATGGATACTCGAGTGGCCGCGGGGAGGCCCAATTTGGTTGACGACGTTCCTGTAGTATGCGAGTTTTCGGATGTGTTCCCCGAAGAGTTACCAGGTGTGTCTCCGGATAGGCAAGTGGAGTTCCGTATCGATTTGGTTCCGGGAGCGGCACCCATCGCCAAGGCGCCTTATCGTCTCGCTCCACCGGAAATGCAGGAGTTATCCTCGCAGCTTCAGGAGCTATTGGGGAAGGGGTTTATTCGACCGAGTAGCTCACCTTGGGGAGCGCCTATTTTGTTCGTCAAGAAAAAGGATGGTTCACACCGGATGTGTATCGATTATCGGGAGTTGAACAAGTTGATGACTAAGAACCGGTATCCGTTACCTATGATCGACGATCTGTTCGATCAGTTGCAGGGGGCATCTTGGTTCTCCAAGATAGACTTGAGGTCGGGTTATCATCAGATGAGGGTTCGGGAGGAAGATATTCAGAAGACTGCATTCAGAACTTGTTATGGTCATTATGAGTTTGTGGTGATGCCTTTTGGGCTCACCAATGCCCCGGCCGCGTTCGTGGACCTTATGAACCAGGTGTGCAGGCCGATGTTGGATCCGTCGGTGATCGTATTCATTGATGATATCTTGGTATATTCGGGGTCTAGGGAACAACATGAGGAGCATTTGAGGGAAATTCTTGGAGTATTAAGATCGGAGAGGTTGTATGCCAAATTCTCCAAGTGTGATTTCTGGTTATGAGAGGTCCAGTTCCTCGTGCATCTTGTTAACCAGAAAGGGATATTGGTTGACCCGACCAAGATTGAGGCGGTGTTGAGGTGGGAGGTGCCGAGATCGCCCACTGAGATCAGGAGTTTTCTAGGATTGGCTGGGTATTATCGAAGGTTTATCAAGGATTTCTCCAAGATCGCCGTGCCACTTACTAGGATGACCCGGAAGGGTGTTGCATTTTCGTGGGGACCGGAGCAGCAGTCCTCATTCAAGACCCTTCGTCTGAAATTGTGCGAGGCTCCGGTGCTTGCACTCCCGGAAGGGATGGAGGATTTTGTGGTGTACTGTGATGCCTCTATATCCGGTTTGGGGGCGGTGCTTATGCAGAGGGGGCATGTGATAGCGTATGCTTCCAGGAAATTGAAGCCTCATGAGTTGAGATATCCCACCCATGACCTGGAATTGGGGGCTGTGGTGTTTGCCCTCAAGATCTAGTGACATTA